CCGCCTGTCGATCTCCCGATCCCTCCTACCCTCACTCGTGAACAAGACCCCGAGATACTTAAACTCCTCCACTTGAGGTAGGACCTCTCCCCCGACCCGGAGTTGGCAAGCCACCCTTTTCCGGTCGAGAACCATGGTCTCAGATTTGGAGGTGCTGATCCTCATCCCAGCCGCTTCACACTCGGCCGTGAACCTACCCAGCAAGAACTGAAGGTCAGAGCTGGATGAAGCTAGGAGGACCACATCATCCGCAAAAAGCAGAGACGAGATTCTCCTGCCACCAAACCCAACACACTCCACACCACGGCTGCGCCTAGAAATTCTGTCCATAAAGGTAATGAACACATGTTGACACGATAAATTAAAATTGATAAAGGAATCTGCATATGAAAACGTACGTTAGCACATACCTAGCATTAAAAATGTCTGTTTTCTAGAAGAAGTTATTTTTATAGCGCCTCTAATAACACGGCACTTGACCATAAAAATGTCAGAATGATTTAAAAGATAATAATATAAAAATGGGAGAAAGATAGAAGTCTAAGATTATAAAATTTGTTTGACGACATGTTGTGTTTACCGTTTCCACTTTTTGAGACATCATGTTGCTTTATTTAATTGTAGCTGGATTATTTCGTTCATTAATTTTCTATAAAGATTGGAAGAACTATGTTGAGTTTGCACATTTGTAAAAGAAAGAATGTTTTTCTTTTATTAAACTAGATACTGTTCTCATTTTGAAAGTAATGAATCTTAACATATTTTAAAGTACATTTGTGCCTATTTTCAATACTAAGTATGCCAAAAATGGTTCATTTGATAAATAATGTTGGTTTACCTCAACTCACAAATATAAAATAATACTTTTCATTTCATGCTGTACGTATTTACAGAAGCCAAATGAAAAAGAATCTTTGATGGTTTGTCCTCTCGCAGCTTCAGTTGTCCTTTCATTTGGGCTCCTAAACACAAAGCATTTAACATTTGAAGGTATTTAGAACGTATGAATGAAACTTTAACCTTGGTTTTGTGAGGTTCTTGTTAGAAAATCTTCCACAAGAGAAGGTGACATGACAACGAAATCAAAGAATTATTAGTTTAAAATGAAAAAAATGAAAGGGACCTCCTGCTCTTTGACTGTGCTCTCATGTTGAAGACAACCTTGAGCAAACTTACAAAGAACGATGATCCCTCCCAGTTGCAGAGTGGTGCAGAGGTATGTGCAATTGGAGAGGCTTAGAGCAGGGGTGCCCATAACTTTTCAAGACAAGGGCCAAAAAGTTATTAGTTGGGGCTGCATGGTGGTGCAGTGGTTAGCACTGTTGCCTCGCAGCACGAAGGTTGCAGGTTCGAAACTCAGCTGCGGCCTTTCTGCGTGGAGTTGCGTGTTCTCCCCATGCATGCGTGGGTTTCCTACGGGTACTCCGGTTTCCCCCACAGATCACAACATGCCCTGTAGGTTATAAATTGTACGTCGCTTTGGATAAAAGCGTCTGCTAAATGAATAAACATAAACATAAATAAACATAAATAAACATAAACATAGTTCTCACGTCACAGGTGACAAAAATGGGATTTTTTAAATTAAAATAAATGCTAAAATTATTTTATGCTCATATTTAAAGTTGTTCTCTTCAAAATAGTCAAAAACAGGCATATTAGTACATATTGGAAGAAAAAAATGTTAGAAAGTATTCTTCAGCTATCTGCCTCATCGGGGGGCCACACAAAATCACAACGACAACCTCGGGCCGCGCTTGTCTGGCTTAGAGTGTTGGGATGACATCCAGCCGTCACATCAAGCTGTGGGTCTGTAAACTGGACAGATGTTTGCATTTTATTGGAGGTGCCACTACACTGTAAGAAAAGAAATGCTGAATTAACTAAATCAAGTTATGTCAACTAGTTTCACTAAACCTAGTTGTTTAAATAGTACAAGTAAAATACATTGTTATGTTAAAAGTAAATATATACTACTCTCCACATTTAAGCAGTTAGGTTTAGTGGAACCAGTTGTTATAACTTTTTTAAATTAATTCAAAATTTCATTTCCTACAGTGTATTTTCCCTACATTTCTAAAATGGCATGATATTAAACATAAAATATGCTGTTTTAGGCATCATGTGCTAAATACCATACATACAAAGAAAAACACAAAATTCTGACTTCTTGAAAGGAAACATTCTTATTTTTCTTCATTTAATACAGCTGCTTTAAACTAAACTCCAAATGCTGAAATGATTTTTAAAAAGATCCAAATGATTTACAGAGAAGCTTGGCGAAAAAAGCTGGAAGGAAATAAATCGAGAAGTGGAGAATCAGAAAAAAGTTTCATGAGGATAATGGATATTTATATTTCTAAAGACATTTGAGTCTGAGGAGATCAGTCAGTACAGCTGCTGCTGGCTCACATTTCAGTGCTTCTGTCAGGCAGAAATGTCAGCTACAAGCAGACAGGTGCCCTGGGAACTCCGCTATCTAGTTTCAAAATCTGTTCAGATTAATTCCTCATTAAAATAGAAAAATACAGTGATTATTCACTTAAAAAGAGAAAAATAGGGAAGAAAAGTTCATATTTGTATTTTTCATCAATAAAATTAAGAACATTTCAGCCAGTCAAACACTGATGTCTCATTCCAGGAGCCTGCAGATCCTTTTGACAAGCAATTTGCTTTGAGCCGTTTGTCCCCCGAGGACATGCACTCAGCCTATCAGCATGATTCATCTTCCTGATTACACGGTGAGTCTGAGGGCGCTGCGTGGCGTCTGAAGGGTGAGACCTGCTGCTGCTGGACAGAGAACAGGGGAGGGATGGTGGAATTACGCTCATCTGTTCTTGTTAGTCACTATTTCTCATCACAGGTTTAGTGAATGAAGTGTTGCAGGACGGCATGGCCGTTTACCATGAGCCACGCACCTGAGGACACATCAACTTCTGAGTCAAATGTTCTCCTGAACCACTGGATGGTTTTGAACTAAATCATTTGGATGAAGACCTGTAGCTGACCAACTTATGGTCCGAGATCAAAAGCTCTAACCCAGGGGTGCCCAAACATTTTAACATGAGGACCAAAGTCATCAAGATAACGGTCTTCGTGAGCCACAAAAACGTGATTAAATTTTTTTAATGGTCAGTTTTAAAATTTGTACTCCTCAAAATGTGTCTAAAACAAGTAAAATTGGAAATATCTGTGCCATGGTCGGTGGTGAGCTGCCTGCCTGTAACCCTGTTTTTCTCTGAGCCTTGTCTGCAGGTGGGCGTGTCTGAGAGCTACCAGCTGCAGCTGATCCTGTCATCAAGGCCCGGGGGATTTAAGGAGCAGTGTGACACTACACCACGCTGGATGATTACTCCAGCCTCTAACCTGTCTCAATCCTGTGTACTTTGCTAGATCGTGTGTATATTGCTAGATAACTTGCCTCCTGACAAGTCCTGACGACTCTACCCTGCTCTCCTCCAGGTTACGCTCCACACTCCATCATCTCCACACCAGCTCGGACTCCTGCACTCCTGATCACACTGCCTCCTCCCCGGCCGCCTGCTCTCAGCCACTCACCTGCCCTCCTCAGCCTCCGCTCCTACATGATGTCTGGATTAAACAGTTTCTGTGCCTTCTGGACCTCCTCAGCTCACCCGGACCTGACCAAATCCCTCCCCGTGTCTATTACCACTACCAGAAAACCGTAAGCTCCCGCCTGTCACAAAATCTCCAAATTATTCCACCAGATACTCCCTCTGTCTCCCTCCTCAGAATCTCACTCTGGAATCTTGCTACCTGCGCAATCGTCTTCTGTTCCCGTTACTCCTTTAGTTCCTCATTTAAAATAAAATCCTTTTTACACTTGTTTCCGCAATTGATTCTGCATGTTGTGGGTCAAGAAGTCGCCACTCAACATGACAATCTGACCATCTTTCCAGGGTTCAGCATTCTAGAAATGCAAGCACAGGGGCAGCAAAAAACCCTCCAAGAGCTGAAGAATGACCCCTGGGCCATGTTGGGCATCCCCGAGCTAACCCTGATTTCGCAGCATCACAGCACATCCTTTATGGAGTTTCTGCATTTGTTATTATTTAAAGCTCCTGAACAAAAAAAGGTTTCCTGGTTGCAGTCATGATCAAAATGACACAAAAGATTTTTTATACAGATTTCTGCTTTAGTGTTTTCAAATTGTCGAATGAATTACAGGCATTTCTTAAACTCTTCATGACAATTTGTTTTCTTAATTTTGAGAATTGACCACAAGTTCTGAGTGCAATACAGGTCTGATTGTTTTGGCAATGATTCCAGATGGCCACAACTCACTTTACAGAGATCAAGCGATTGACCCCAGATTGGGTAACAATCTTAGTTTAAGACGTTTTCTTGGCGTCAACCCCAACAAACCACAGAACTTAGACATGCACATGCTTCAAATGCAAAGTGAATCACGAGATTGGGGATTGATACGCTCTTGATACGGTGGCACAGGAGTTAAGTGCTCGCCCCGTAATCGGAAGGTTGCAGGTTCGAGTCCCGCTCAGCCTGTCGCTGTCGTTGTGTCCTTGGGCAAGACACTTAACCCACGTTGCCTGCTGGTGGTGGTCAGAGGGACCGGTGGCCCCAGTGCTCGGTCTCTGTCAGTGCGCCCCAGGGCAGCTGTGGCTACATCGTAGCTCATCCCCACCAGTGTGTGAATGTGTGTGTCAATGGGTGAATGACTGATTGTGTTGTAAAGCACGCCTTGGAGGGTTCCAGGACTCTAGAAGGCGCTATATCAAATACAGGCCATTTACCATTTAATCCACATTTCTTAAATGTACAATGGTCCTATTTTAGTACACTGTAATAAAGACCTTTGGCTCCCTTAATGAACTCCAATCTTTTAATAGCTGCTGAAATGTTAAAGCAGCAGCAGTGGGACGGACGCTGGCTGTGGCCAAGCAGAGCCAATCGATGCCGCGCTCCCCTGATAACACGTGGATGATTAATCAAGCTGCGCGTGCACGATTAGACTCCAATGGGTCTTATTGGTTTGTGGAGCTTTAACAGCACCGCAGGACAGCTGGCGATCCCCCGCGTGCGCGATAAACTCACAGGCGCTGTCTGTGGTGCTGAACCGCGTCCCGGTGGACCGACGCACCTCCCTCCATCTTTTTTCTCCCCCTCCTCCTCCACCTCCTCATCCACACAACCTGTTCGCACCTGAGCTCCCCGGTGATCGATGATGATGGCGCGCAGGATTTAGACGGACCCCGGGCTGCTTTGCATCGGATCATCAGGATGAAGGACCTGTAGGATTAACGGCGGAGTGAGAAAATGTTCCTGAACGCATCGTTTGTTACGGATTTACAGAGATTACTAATTCACTGAGCAGCTGCAGCCAGATGCACACCGTTCAACCTTTCATCCTTTGCGGAATTTCAGCGCGTTTTGTGCAAAAAATGCATTGTTTAAATCAAAATAATCCGCAAAAATAGGAGATTTGCTCGTTTTTGTTTTGTTTCGTGAGAAGATCATGGCTCGCCTGCTTGTTTGGGTCAACTCCGTGGTCCTGTTGCTTTTTGGCAGCGACGTGTTCTTGGTGGCAGCGAGTAAGTATCACAACAAGCATGCATGATCATAACACCAGGCTGCTCGTGACACCTGCTGTCTGTGTGCAACGTGGGCCTCCACGTGCAAGAATAAAATCACCCATTTGTGCTCATTTCTAAAAGGTAGATTAATAATCCACCAAACATCCTGTATGCAAACAGGCACATTTATTTATTTCAGTTTGAACACATTTTTATTTGAGGTGAAAATGCAAATTATTTACAGGAATCAGCTCATTATTCCGCTGATTTCTACAAATGTGGGTGCGATAACACAACTTTGTATTTTTCTGGGAAATAATTGCCAGATGATTAATTTTTATGACTTATTTGCTGCTTGCTATTTACCTTCTTTGCTTCCCAAGACACCTTTATAGAATCATATTAACACAGTTGTGTTTAGAGATGGATGTGTACAAGGTCATGCCCAGACAGAAAACTATTCCCAGATTGTTATTTTCTTCCACACCGATGCGTGAAGTCACAAGCATCTCTGATCAGTTTGGTGTGAGGATGTCAGAAGTGCTGAGAAATCAGTCATCTAAGCAAACGTGGCATTGAAGTTGCTCTTGACCTCAAAGAAAATAAAAAATAAAGGGTGAATTAATTACCAAGGGTCATTTCATGGCAGGAGACTGCAAAGTGCAATTAAGGGAAAGATCTGAATGAACTGATTGCACCACTTTTCTGTTCAATTGGCTCAATTCTGAATAAATTTAAGAGTGAAAATGGATTTTAGCTACTCAGAAAGAGAAGAATGGTGTAAATAACTTCAAATTAAATAAACTTTAGTATAATCCACTCACTGAAATTAAATGTTTGCCCTCTTCTTGAGTAAATGAACAATAAAACACAAAAGTTTGCCCTGTATTTACACACACACACAACTCCAGGAAACAGAAACACTAGAGGACTAAATCTTGCTTTGTGTGAATCAAGATTTATTGGATTTATCAGATAGCTGGGCTCAAATCAGATTGGCGATCTGCTGTTAATAAACCCAGAGACTTGTTCCTGATAAATAACATCTCCGTCTGCCAGCTGAATCCATTTAAATGATGGGCCAGATTTAATGATGTTATAATTGGAGCTGCTGTCAAATTGGACACCAAATAACAGACGGGGAGCGGTGAGTTTAGGGCTGCAGCTAACACTTGTTGACGTCACTGTAAAATCTTATTGGAAAATATAAACGTCACAGTGTCACTGTGTGCTAACCTTTACCGTTTTTGCAATGATTGAGGAGTTGGCTTGTGGCTGCAGAAGTCCCAGAGCTGAGCTGGAGAATACATTAACATTACCCTCTTCCCATCTGGTCTAGCTGCAGTTTCACAGAATGAAGGCAAAATGTGAAATGATGAAACATCCAGAGGTTAGGTGAGGGACAGGTAGTGTTGCAGTGGAGACAGGAGCCATTATGATTTTTGTTTCTGGGTGATTTTCCACACTGAGGTCTGTGAGCAGCTGTGAGACAACCAGCTGTTGTTCTCAGAACATTCAGACTGAAATCCATCCTTGAAGACTGACCGGGCAGCATAGTAAAAAGCCTCTGACTCACCCCCTTTGTAAAGTAAATCCAATATTTCATCAGGGGATGAGACATCACTTAGGCTTATAAGTAAAGACTCAAAAGTGATTCAAATACTTCAAAATGTGACTATTTCCTGGCTTTCAAATACATCTGGAGTTTTGTGAATTAGGCCCCTTTGAGAGTTCTGCTGTTCTGCCACTTAAGGGATCAATCAGCTGCTTCATTTAGAGGCACTGAAGACAAAGCTGAGCTTTCATTCAAGCGGTTTGAGCCTTACACTGAAGACGTGTACCCCTATTTCTCACTGGAAGCATCAGCAGCGTTGAACGGTTTACGCAAGCTTCAACGACGGCAAGATCCTCAAGACTTCAAAGGTCGCGGTTTGTTTATGCGATCCACCATTAAACACAAAAACAGGAAATCATGTTTGATATTGCTGCTTGATGTCATAGATGATGTTGTTCTTCTCCACTGCCAGGAAAAGACATTGCTGCACTTATCCAACAATACAGGGAGTAAACAAGCCGTTAGGTCACACATAAGCTACATACAGTATATATGAAATCATGTTGTTGCAGTACATTTATTTTGAAAATTACAGGGGATTTTAAACTGAAACCATGTGTCATTTCCTGTCTAGCCCTAAGTTAACAGCGGAAGTTGACGTGTCCTGACCCTAACTTTAACCTTAACTTCTGGGACGCTCCTGGAAATCGCTGCGTCACGGCTGGTTTGAAACATCTCCATAGATGATGAAGGATTCTATGTGAAGCAGCGTCGTTCCGCTGCCGTTCTGCACCGCTGATGCTTCCAGTGTGAAATAGGGGTTAGAACGTGATTAGCCTGACATTTCTTCACCAGCGACCGCAACAGTGTAATCTGGGGAACTTTAATTTAAGATGCAAGAAGTAGGAGTGCCATCCTGTGGTCAGATGTAGATACTGCAGTCTGTTTCAAAACAAATGGGTCCAATCCGAGCAACTGTTGCCAGTCATAAATGACTTCCAGTATGATTCAGACATCAGACTGTTTTGTGATCATTTCACTGTAAAATTCTTAAATTTGTTATCTTTATTGATAACAATCCAGTTTTTTTAGAGATGATAAAATTTTTTCCTGCTTTGCAGTTAAAAAAACATTTACCATCATCATTTTCATTGATGTTTCTGCCCAAAGTTCCAAGTGTTGCCATCTTATTATGTTGTTATAATATGCAACAATTGTTTTGGAAACAAGATTATATGTTTTTAATTTTCAAGCAAGCACATAAAGATTGAATCTTATCAAGTCTCATCTTATCACATCTTCTCTTAAAGATACGCAATTATAAATGTTTTTATTCATGTTCACACTCGTTACTGTGACTCAGTTTGCAAAGTTATCATTGTTTTGATTTATCTATTAGTAAATAATTATGATTGTGTGCTTTTATGCACTGGGTACACTTTTTTGTAACTTTACTTTTGAGACAATCGAGCCTTTGAATTTGAACTCTCCTATGATTCAATTTAACATTTAGTATTGTATAACATTGCACCACAGTGTTGATTTCATGTCGTATTGCATCTAATTATAATGCTTAACAGTAGTTTTGAAACATTTGATACAAAATTCAAACTAAACATTTCAAAGTTTAGGAAAGTTCTTGAAGTAGAGATATAACCTCCAAAATGAGGTTGTTTTAAACTTTCCGTGTCTTGTTTTGTCCACAGCAGTTGTTGACAAAAAAGCAGCCGAGGTTGTCTTGTTGCTGTAAATCCAACTTTTTTAATGCGTCCATAAAAACATTGTTGATGCAAACAAACACACAAGCAATAAACCGAGAGGCAGGTGTGCAGCAAATGTCTACAGGGCTCTACGATGACACAGCAGACTCTGATCCTGGGCTCGTATCCACGAGGCTTCGCAGCACCTCACAGGTCCAGCTTTCAGCGTGTCTCCCAGCTGTGGCTATATGCTGTGATTCATCATGGCAGAGCTCCAGCATCCTGGGAGGGAGGGTCTTGCCAGTTATTTGCACTGACACACACCTTGTCCTCTGTGACAGCATGTGGTTTAATTTCCAGCCTTATATAACACGGTGGGAAGTGCAGAGTTTTCTGTCAGGACGAGCGTTCCTGCTGACAAGAACATGAAACAAACATGAAGAAAAAACGAGAGGAGTCAAGAAATATCAGAATTTCCTCTAGTTTTTGGCAAAAATACTTTTAAGAAAATTTACTGAATGGCTCGTTGCTCTTCAGACATTTCAGGTTGAAAATTAGGACCCAACGCAGAAGTGTAACTCGGAATGAGAAGAAGGGGGAAAGATAAACCATTTCCTCTTTTCATGAGCAAAATGAGGTCCAAGACAGTCCAATTCAATTACTTTAATTACCCAGCTGTTAAATAGACCACTCACCCTGCCTTCTGCCCCTAAACCCCTTTTTAAAAGAATTGACCAACATTTTCTCTGTCACAGATGGAGATGAGGACCAGCCTTTTCCTTCACTCCATCCCTCTCTTCTACAAACCAGTCTGAGCCTGAGGAAGCCTAAGCATCAGGCTTTTGACACATTAAGAGACACTGATAACTCCACTTTGCTCCATCAGTTATCTCTGTGATACAGTAAAAGTGTAGGAATGAAGGAGAGGGGGATCAAAGGGTAAACACGTACTGTATGGATAAGAGGAACCACATGGAAAGGACTGTGAATGAGTTCATTTATAACAGTTTACAATCATTTCTTCTCCATAACTTCCTGGGTTTGGTGTAAACTGGTCATTTACAGGCATGCTGATGGCCTTCTGTATACTTTTTTCCTCCAATCTGACATTTCTATCTCCTGCAGCTACACAAACACCATTAGATGTACAGTAACAACAAAAGCCCTGATGAAAAGGCCTCCTGATCCCATCTCGCCTGCCGATATGACCCGTACAGGCTCCTCTGTCTGAGCTGTCAACCTCTGCTCCTCTTCTCTTTTGCTGCCCAGGCTTTTGTTGCCACTTTGCAATCGATGGAAGGCTGCAAAGGGAGCAGAGGGAAGAAAACATCATACTGACAGAAGCAGATGAGCCAAAACAATAGTTTTAATACAAATCAGAGCAGAACGAGGCTTATAGTAGAAATGTGTACAAAAACTGTCTTCTTTTGATCAGAACACAAAGAAACACGTCGAGTTTAGTTGCCTCTTTTTAAAATCAAAGACAAAAACAGAGAAAACTGGAAAAAAATGAGTTGTGTTTCTGAAATATTGCACGCTATCCACTTGGGAACTCACTTGAGTTTGAGGCTAAACCACTTTCTCAGTCAGTTGAGAATGGGGACCTGCACTTGTGTAAGTCCACGTGTGTTCAGTTCATGTATACTATCATCTCTGATCTCCATAAATATTCAGAACACAACCCAAGAGGATGCTACTGCAAATGCTCACCAGGAAGACAAAGAAGCACCGGGCTCTAAATGCAGCCAAGCGTGAAACTAAATACCACCAAACGCCCAAAAAGAGCAGCACAGAGGAGAGAAACATGCTTAAGCTTGACATTAAGCTGTCCTGACTTCTGCACCAGAGAGCTGGTGATTTGTTTTCTACTGACTTTCTTTAGCTTTATGCATGCAGCTCCTCAGGGGACACGAGATTTGACTTTAAGAGACGGACTCGTCCAGGTCCAATCCGCTGGGCTCTGCAGGGAGAGCCATACCAGACAGAAAAGCAAAGAATATTAGTTACAGTGACGTAGCAGATTTTTAAAGTTGTCCTAGAATTAGAAGCCATATTTCCCTTGTTGTTGAATATATCTTGGGGTGTCTAATGCTGCAAGTACTGCAGCAATTTCCTAATGTTGTGATTTCTTGCACACATGGCAATAAAACCCTTCTGATTCTAATGTACCAAAAGCCTGTGCTAACTTTGACCTGCTTTCCTATGTGACTTAGTAATATTGTAATAACCGCTGAGAAATGATTCTTAGTGGAAGAAGCTGCTTTAACGCGTCATAAATTTAGACACACAGCCTTAAATTTGCATGCCCCACCCAGCCCACGTGAATGTGGGCTGTATCTAAACACTGATAGCGGTAATGCTAACCGCAGAACAAGGCTTGCTAATGCTATCCCAAGCTGCGACTAACTCTAGGCCAAGCTACTGCAAACACTAGCCCAAACTATTGCTAACTCTAGCACAAACTACTGCTAACAGCTGAGCTACTGCTAACGCTAGGCCGAGCTACTGCTAACACTAGCCTAAGCTACTGTTATTGGTAGGTTTACAAAGTGTTACAGATTAATTAATAACATCTACAAATTATAATAGTTAGCCATTTAGAATGAGCCTTTTTGTAAAGTGATACTAACCAAATGATAGCCCCCTAGTGGCTGGTTGCAGTAACAGGTTTTAGTCTCACCCTCTAAATATTAATCAACAGGGTTTTGTCCTAAATGAAAGTTTCTGCCTAATTGACTGACAGTTGATTGTAATCATGTTGATTTGATCATTTTATTGTTTGTACTTTATTGTGTTCAGCGCTTTGGGCTGCCTTGACTAGTGGTGGGAAGGTGCTATATAAATCAATAAATGAAATGAAATGAAAATTGAAAACATCCTCCACATTGAGAGGAGCCAGTTGAGGTGGCTCGGGCATCTGGTCAGGATGCCTCCTGGACGCCTCCCTGGTGAGGTTTTCCAGGCACGTCCAACCGGGAGGAGGTCTAAAGGGAGACCCAGGACATGCTGGAGGGACTATGTCTCTTATCCGGCCAGGGAACGCCTTGGGATTCCCATGGAAGAGCTGGCCCAATTAGCTGTGGAGAGGAATGTCGGGGCCTCTCGACTCAGGCTGCTGTCCCTGCGACCTGACTCCGGATGAGCACAAGAAAATGGATGGACAATAAGATGTGACGACACCTGTAAATGTGATATAATAATATAACTTTGTTATTAGTAGACAGAGACCCAGTGTTCACTTTAATATAAGTTGATTTTACTGACAGATATGGTGTGAAACTAACTTAATATTAGAAAATTCATTGGATCAATTTATTCTTGTTCTCCAGACCGACCGCCAGCTCCTGTGAACGTGTCCGTCATGCATCTTCGTGCTGACTCAGCAACTGTGTCGTGGGAGGTTCCAGAGGGGGATATCATTATTGGCTTCTCCATCTCACAACAGGTAATTACTTAATGTCGAATGTCAATCAGGACATGTGTGGGAATAAATCAGAGAACGCTTATGCTCAGTAATCGTTATCACCCACATGCTGAAACTCAAAAGCTGGATTCAAATGAAAATTGCAGAATAATATAATGTCCATCCAAAACTGATTCAGCTTTGGAGTCAAGCTGAATGAACATGGCAGTCAGAGCTAATTGGCATTATAAAACAACTATAACTCAGTTTAACCAGTACCGAGCTATTGAGCATGCAACTGGTTAAGAAGGTGGTGCACAATATCTAACATTACAAGACTCACAAGCGTTTAATATTTTCAGGCGTAGCTTATTTATTTATTTATTTATTTATTTATTTTGTGGTTAGAAAAGAAACTTTTGGCAAGCCAAACAGCCTGTAGGCTAAATGAGGAGGTGGTTCTGTGCTCGTTTTTCTACAATAATGTACAATCTAATCATAATGATTGATTTTATAGAATTTTTTGGGACTGATTCCATGAACAGTTCCTAACTCACCAGAGTCTGGAGCTGGTAAACTTGTCATGGTCGGTGAGTCAGAAAAGAGCAAGGCTGCAGCATGAATGCTTGTAAACTGATTTTAAAAACTCCATTTTAATTTCTCATTATGAAACGTGTTTGAAAAGCTTGAAATAGGAAAAGCGATGGCTGAATGATGCAGCTTTAAATGCTGCACTGTGATCACATTTATGCACCATGCTGTAATTAAAACATGCTTTCAACTCAGAGCGACTCCCCTCCTCGTTCTCTAGGCAGCTGCATCTAAACACGCTTCGTAATTGATAAAAATGTACATAAAAATTTTATAAATACACAGTTTGAAGGCACATGCATACTTTTTGACTCAACTCCCCTTTGAGCAAAGCAATAAAAACCTAATAAAAGTACATCTGGGTCAGTGACGCCGTAAGTGCAGAGGAGCGTGTGCTGAGAACAGATAAATAGCTGCTTTGGGAGGGAAAGTTCTCTTGTCTCTGTGCCTTAGTAGCTTCAACAACCTTGGGAAAGGTCAAACACCAAGTCTGAGGTTTTCCCTCACAAAGTTTTTGCAGTCTAGAGTAATCGCTCTATCGATCAGGACTCTGTGTGGTGAACAGAAAAGTGCAAAACTGTTAACACATCAAAGTGCTCAGCATGTTCTTCTCTGAGGCTTCGAGTGTTTTCGACTCACATTCACTCTGATGGTTCCGGAGCCTTCCTGTAGCTTTCAGAGAGTGGCTCATCATTGACTTTAACATTTTCCTGTCAGAATTAATGAAGTAGAGCTGGGACACATCCAAGACAAGCCGATGTCTTTTGTTCTGACCCATTCTGCAGAGCGAGCGTGTGTGTGTGTGTGTGTGGCCATCTGATCACACTACTGCCCTCGATATTGATCCCATGCTGCAAATGCTCAGTTGTTCATTCTAATCCTGCTGCTCTCTGTCACTTTCCGATACCCAGAGACAGGATGGACACATGCAGCGATTCATCCGTGAGGTCAACACCACCAGCCGTTCCTGTGTTCTCTGGGATCTGGAGGAAGAGACGGACTACATCATCCAGGTTCAATCCATCGGCCTCTACGGGGAAAGCCAGGCCAGCAAGAAAGTCCATTTTCGCACGCTGAAGAAAACAGACCGATTTCCTTCCAACAGCTCCAACCAAGGTTTGCTGCCCTGAAGCCTCATTCACACCAAGGCAGAATGAATGTGGTCCAGCTACCCTACGGCTTCCAAACGGACTGATATTCATACCAACTGGGGTTCGGGTGCAGAATGTCTCCAGAAATTTGCTCACGAGTTCACGCAGTAGCATCTATGTAAACAGAGAGAAGCTGTCTTCTTGAAAAAACAAAATCCAGAACAAACAATGCAACACAGGTTGTATTTTGAAGCATATTGGATGCACCTCCCTGTTTCACCTCTCACTTCCTGTCTGGCTTATGTAATTTCTTCAACTTCATAACGCATTTCGCATTTTGCGTTCAAAAAAATAAACTCCACGTGGAGACTGTCTCGTATCGCAGCCGGTGTGAATGCTCTGATTAGACTCAATGATTTTTTGTCATGGGAGTTTGCCCAACCAATCCACATGTGCTTTGTGGATTTGGAGAAGGCTTATGACCGTGTCCCCAGGGGCACCCTGTGGGGGACGCTCCAGGAGTATGGGGTGGGTGGCTTTCTGTTAAGGGCCATTCAGTCCCTTTACCAGAGGAGCGTGAGTTTGGTCCGCATAGACGGTAGTAAGTCGGACCTGTTCCCAGTGAGGGTTGGACTCCGCCAGGGCTGCCCTTTGTCACCGGTTCTGTTCATCACTTTTATGGACAGAATTTCTAGACGCAGCCGTGGTGTGGAGTGTGTCGAGTTTGGTGGCAGGAGAATCTCGTCTCTGCTTTTTGCGGATGATGTGGTCCTCCTAGCTTCATCCAGCTCTGACCTTCAGCTCTTGCTGGGTAGGTTCGCGGCCGAATGTGAAGCGGCTGGGATGAGGATCAGCACCTCCAAATCTGAGACCATGGTTCTCGACCGGAAAAGGGTGGCTTGCCAACTCCGGGTCGGGGGAGAGGTCCTACCTCAAGTGGAGGAGTTTAAGTATCTCGGGGTCTTGTTCACGAGTGAGGGTAGGAGGGATCGGGAGATCGACAGGCGGATTGGTTCGGCGTCTGCAGTGATGCGGACGCTGAGCCGATCTGTCGTGGGAAAGAGGGAGCTGAGCCAGAAAGCCAGGCTCTCGATTTACCGGTCGATCTACGTCCCAATCCTCACCTATGGTCATGAGCTTTGGGTAATGACCGAAAGAACGAGATCGCGGATACAAGCGGCCGAAATGAGTTTCCTCCGTAGGGTGGCCGGGCTCAGCCTTAGAGATAGGGTGAGGAGCTCGGACATTCGGGAGGGACTCGGAGTAGAACCGCTGCTCCTCCGGATCGAAAGGAGCCAGTTGAGGTGGTTTGGGCATCTGGTCAGGATGCCTCCTGGACGCCTCCCCGGGGAGGTGTTTCGGGCATGTCCTGCCGGCAGAAGGCCCCCGGGTCGACCCAGGACACGTTGGAGAGGTTACATCTCCAATCTGGTCCGGGAACGCCTTGGGGTCCTGCCGGAGGAGCTGGTGGACAAGGCTGGGGAGAGGACGGCCTGGAGCTCCCTAGTTGGGATGCTGCCCCCGCGACCCGGACCCGGATAAGCGGAGGAAGACGAGAGACGAGACGAGATTTTTTGTCCATGTGGAAGCTGTACAGAGTCCATACTGCATCCATTCTACATTTGGTGTGAATGAGGTTTAACATTGAATATAGGGTCAGTATGAATAAAGTCCTTTAAAACGTGGGTTTGCAATAGAAATTAGCATGCTGTAATGCTTTGTAGTAAAATGCAGAACAAGGAAATCAGCTTCAGATGTAAATGAAGACCTCCAACTCAATAAGGACTCCTATCATCTGAAAAACCACTGAATTGAATGAAAGAAAAGCATTCAAACCCAATAAACTATGAGCTTTAACCTTCTCCAGGTAAGAAAGAGCTAGTAGAAGATAACCGTTAGTATTAGCAACTCCACCACATGGCAGAACTCCTCCAGGCTTATGTTATTTGTGGAGATAAAACAGCAGAGCAAATTGAGTCAGTTGTGGAGTCGTGTTGCTGTTAGCCAATCAGAGTCAAGATGTCTGAATATCAGGAAATAAGACTCCAAATCCTGCGGTCTGGAGCGCAACCCTTCTCTGGCTAGCTTTGACTTCCTGAAACAGGAGCATGAGAGTTTTGTGGTCACAGAGATCAACTCACAAGGAAATAGTTTATACTAAAGACAACTGCAAGTGTGTTAAAAAAGTGGGAACTTGGTCTTTAATCGTTGTTGCAAAGTAAAATGAGAAAAACGAAGTGTTATAATTAGATATTTTCCTTTATTTTAACATCAAAAAATCCCACTTGGAGGTGGTTGTTGGTGACAAATTGTGAACTCCACATGTTTCCAAAAGGCCTCAAAATGTTTGCAAGAGTAGTTACAGAATTCCCTTGAACGAATTACAGGGATGTGCTTTAATGTCTCCAAAATTTTTATTCTATTAAAAAATAAAAAAATCTGCTAAAAATTTGCAAATGCATGTAATGAAAATGATTCAACTTTGGGAGCATTATGAGAGCAAATTAAAAATGATATTATGGTCAAATGTTACAAAAATGAGGCATGATGTTTTGTGATTGTCACAGTTTGTTTGCAGTTACATCATGTGACAGGGCAATACTTTAAAAATCTTGCAAAAAAGTGTCATGTGTACCAATTTAATAAGGTTTCAAGAAAAATAAATGTCATATTTCCTCTCACATTTTGGGTTTTCAACTAGTCGCCATTAAACTAAACCCAGTGAAAACCTAGCATGGCCAAGGTCAATCCAACAGAACAGGGTTAGTTTTTGTTTGGTTGTTCTGTTTTATTTTCACCTTCTCCCTCAACAAGAAGCCTGATGCTCCTCTCATAAGGTGCAGGACATTTAACTGTTATGTTACACCACACTTTGCTTTTCATTTAGCTCAAATCCAACTGTGCAGGCAAAAAAAAAAACATTTCAGAAACTTTTCCTGCGGTTTCATCCAGTCCACTTTTCACTCCTCATTCTCCTTGAAATGCACCCCGTCACTGAAAATCAGACACAGTGAAGGCGAGTTCAGTCAAGTTGCAGGTTCTCGAGTGCCCCCTTTCTCAGCCACTCTCTGGGGAACGCTATCTGTGCTTTCTTTTTGGCTTTATTTTTTTCCAGGCATCAATACATTATTGACAATTCTTCAATCGCAACAAGCTCCTCCGAATTTATGCAACATTACATCACTCATGGTGATTCTCTAGATGCACTAAAATGCTTTAAATTCAGCGTAAAGGATGGAAATATGAAAACCATGACCGATATAAAGAAGGTTCTTGTTTTTGTTAAGAAGATCCTACTCTAGGAATCGGTTCGGGGGTAATTAAATAATGAGTGTATTCAATCCTAGATAATGAGGTATCTGAACCATAACAGATGGATTTACATTTCAGCGGTGGAAACAAAATCCAGTGCACACTGCTGCCAACTAGCAGTCAGAGTTTGAATTGCACCAAAAGAAAAGAAAAGACACAAATATTTGCATGTAATTTCTTCAAAAAAATTCAATACACAGCTTTTGAATATTGCTGTAATATCACAGGAAAAAAATATTACGATATATCGCCATATCTATATTTTGATTCTATTAAAAGATAAAAAAAAATCAGCTAAAAATTTGCTAACTTATGTAATGAAAATGATTCAACTTTGGGAGCATTATGAGAGCAAATTAAAAATGATATTGGTTGTTAACCAACCTAGTCGTTCAATGGGTGCTTAGTGGAGATTTGCAGGAACTTAACAATTGCCTCTAAATTTAACCCTATGTTACATCCATTACCTTCTAAGAGTATAAACTAGTATAATAAAATATTACTAGAGGGATAATTATGCTCAAATACATTATAAATGATTTTATGATACAGACATTTTAAAGCAAGGTCAGAATTTATGAACTCTCTTTGGTGAGATGGGGTCACCAAACAAAACAACATTATTACTGAGCATCATTCTCATAAATACTGAACATTTGATGTCTGCGCTCCTTATTTGTAGATTGCCAAGAGCCAGCTGACTCCATAATCAGAGAAAAATATTTTATTACTGTTGCATTATCTAATCTTGAGTTGTAGGCGTTACTTAATGCAAATCTATTCTATTTGCAAAAAACACACACAGCACTAACATGTGGGAGTAATAAACTGCTCACTGAAACAGCAGTCAGTAGCTGACCTGAAATCTGACCTGACATTTAAAGCTTCAATCTGCTGTCTGTGGAGGACATGAACAGCATCTAAATGGAGTTTCAGCCTAGAAAGAGTCGGCGAGGTTGGGACATTTCCAAAATGCTAAATAAGAACAAGATTAATAACTAATAATAATAAAAAAAAAATTGTGTGTTTTAGTTCTGCTGGCTGACTAGAGGTGTGTGTGTGTGTGTGTGTGTGTGTGTGTGTGTGTGTGTGTGTGTGTGTGTGTGTGTGTGTGTGTGTGTGTGTGTGTGTGTGTGTGTGTGTGTGTGTGTGTGTGCTCTGTCTTCTCGATCCCCAGTGAGTCGTGGAGGATGGCTGCTTATACTGAGCCAGGATTCTCTGGAGGTTTCTTCCTGTTAAAAGGGAGTTTTCCTCTCCACTGTCGCTTTATGCTTGCTTAGTATGAGGGTTGCTGTATAGTCACTGACACTAGTCAGTGACTTGATGCAATTTGCTGGGTTCCTTATATAGGAAACATTATTTCTGATTGGCTTAATGAACTGACCTGAATTGGAATGTTTATCATGTGAAGTGCCTTGAGACGACTCTTGTCGTGATTTGGCACTATATAAATAAACTTGAATTGAATTGGTTTAGTGAGCGTGTGACCTTTTGGCTCTTTCCACGCGGCGAGATCAACAATCAGATGGTCCAATAGTTCCTTTCGGATTAAAACGTGTTATTAATGGAGATAGTTCAAGAAAACTTTATTATTTTGTGGGGGGGTTGTCTCGACAATATATTTGCAGCTATAAAAGGTTGGAACATTGCCGTATTGCAGTAAGTTGGGCTGGTTTCTGGACTCCCCCAAGGCTGCCTTTTACCAATGATTCTGTTCATAACTTTTATGGACAGGATTTCTAGGCCCAGCCAAGGTGTTGAGGGGATTTGTTTTGGTGGCCTAAGGATCGAGTCTCTGCTTTTTGCATATGATGTGGTCCTGTTGGCTTCATCAGAAAGTGATCTCTGGCTCTCACTTTAGCGGTTCACAGCTGAGAGTGAAGCAGCTGGAATGAGAATCATCTCCTCTAAATCCGAGACCATGGTCTTGACTCGGAAAAGGGTAGAATACCTTCTTCAGGTCAGGGATGAGGTCCTGCCCCAAGTGGAGGAGTTTAGGTATCTCAGGGTCTTCTGAGGGAAAGGTGGAGCACGAGATCGACAGGCGGATTGGTGCTTCATCTGCAGTGATGCAGGTGTTGTACCGGTCTGTCGTGGTGAAGAGAGAGCTGAGCCGGAAGGCAAAGAGCTCAATTTACCAGTCGATCTACGTTCCTACCTTCACTTATGATCACAAGCTTTGGGTAGAGACCGTAAGAATGAGCTCGCAGCTAAAAGTGACAGAAATTAGGTGGCTGGGTCTCCCTTAGAGTCAGGGTGAGAAGCTCGGTCATCCAGTAGGGGCTCGTAGTAGACCCGCTGCTCCTCCACATCGAGAGGAGCCAGTTGAGGTGGGCCGGGCCTCTATTTAGAATGCCTCCTGGACGCCTCCCTGGTGAGGTTTTCCAGCCACATTCAGCTGGGATAAGGCAAAATGGAAGACCGAGGACACGCTGGAGGGTTTTTGTCTCACGGCTGGCCAGGGAAAGCTTTAGGATTTCCCTGGAGGTGCTGGCCCAAGCGGCTGGGGAGAGGGAAGGCTGGGCCTCCCTGCTAAGGCTGCTGACTCCGCGACTCGACCAAGAGGCCAAAAATGGATGGATGGACAATGTTGGACCGTTGGCATGAAAAATATGTTTTAAGATGATTTTTAAGCCAAATTTGCTATTGCAGCTCTAAAAGAAAAAATATATCTTTTTATATTAAGATGTCCCCTTAACTGTCAGAAAGATGGTCACCCTGACCAAATTAATTCTATAGAACCTAAAATATTAAATCATAAATTGTTCCCTTCAACTCGTACATCTTCTATTCTTGCTGCATCTGTATTTTTTGTGCAATCCTGTTAGCATTTATGCGATACGCCACAACTTTTGGCTCTGTCCATCTGTTAGCTTTTAAAGTGGCAGAACAATAGAACACACTCTGTGGCTACTGGACTGCTGACAGGCTGGCGCTCAGGGCCACTTACTTGACAAGCTGATTTGCTAAAGGAGACAATTAGGAAGAGTGGTGCACTGGAAGAGCTCCATCCAGACCAGTTAAGAGACAGTCATGAGAGTGGAAATAGGCCCCTCGGTAATCCACTAAAAGGATGATTGATTTTACACTGATAGGCGGGAACGCCCACAAAAATCTTTGACAGTTAATCGTCATTAACTATAAAGTCAGTATTGATTTCTACCAATCAATACAGCAATACTGTTACAATTCTGTTGGTCTGTATCATATTTCATTCAAATTACTTTGTTGGTTTTATGCAAATAAAGGCGGAAGGACAAACTGTGCAGGACTTCAGTGTGAAAGGATCAGGAGTGTTTTGCATTTGCTAATAAAGTGTTGCTGTTGTCCTCTCTCCTATAGATGACCCCGCCGTGCTGGGCCTGGATAAGTCCAGGCACCTTCAAACAGGGGAGATGATCATAATCGTGGTGGTCTTGGTCATGTGGGCAGGTAAGTGTGTGTCTTAAACATAAGTTAGAACAAACAAGCATGAAAAATTACAAAATGGGATGCTTAAGTTTTATTTTAGAGTTTTTCAACAGAAGTGAGTTATTAGTGGAGTAGACAAATAAACATATCTATATATTGTTGCTATGCAGGGGAAGAACCCACGGTAGGTTGTGAAAAAATTCATTATATGTTCTACACAATAAATAATATTAATTTGATGCTCGTGCCAAAGCAGGAGAACATTCCCTTTAGCTTTTCCAAAATGTGTTCATATGTCACTTTTAGAACCCAGTATTTAAAATGTCAGCAACACCAAAATAAAAGAAGAAAACACACTTACCAACATAATTACCTACATAAAAGACCGTTTTAAACAGTAAGCAGAACATTAACAATTTAATTAAAGCTGGAAGTCCTCATTTGCTTGTTTTTTGACTTAGCATTTGTTGTTATTTGAGCCCAAGGAAATTCATGTCAAATGGGGACATATTGTGACTTTTTTCTTAAGTTATAATAGTTTTATGGTCTATAAAACATGTTTATGAAGTTCTTTGCACAAAATCCCTTTCTTATAAAGCAATTTCAGCAGTTTTATTCTTGATATTTTCAGTACCTACCAGAATGAGTCGCCATTACTTTAAGAAACCCTACCACCACTCAGGCTGCTTCATGTTTAAAAGCGTCAAAAAATGGGAGGGGCTCAAAGTAGAGCTGCTGCTTTTCCAGCAGCCTTCAAATTTCCCCCTTTGTGACATCACAAAAGGGGACTTTTTGAAACGACTAGTTTTAAGCACATAATTTGGATTTTTTTTTCATGCTTGGTCTGTTTATACAGACAGTAGAGGCCTGCATCACAACACAAAGAGATGAAAAAGAAACATTTTGCATAATACGTCCCCTATAATCGTTTTTCAGAAATTCCTCATTTTTTTGGCATTTCAGAATTACTTACTGTTTAATCCCAAAATGCTAAAACAAAACTATCAGTTTCTGCTGCAACGCATCTATTTCTGTGCTACTCTAGAGAAATTCTACACTCAACAATGTTTTTGTTTACAGATTTGCTTATAAAATTTACTTTTATTCTTGCTGAGAGGTAGTTCCTGCTGCCCGTCACTTCCTGCGCTGCGTGTTGCCATCAAACCGAGCTAAAACCCCAGAAAATCAACAGTTCAATCAGAATTTTGTTTCACTTTGTGACGTCTGCAATCAATAGGATTTCCATGACAAAATGAAAGATGTTCACCAACAGCATCAACACAGTCACACCTATAAATAAACCCCACAGTTTTGAAGAAATGAGGCAAAAATGACTGTTAGACTGCTTTAAAGTGCATACATTTTGGTGGCGTTCTCTTTGAAGTCCCCATCTCCATCAAGCTGGGGGGTTGTAGAAGTGTTAGCTTTAAACCCCTAGACACCATACACAAGGAAGAAAAGAGACTCAAAGTCAGAATTCTGTTTTATGCTCGAGGAGAATGGGACAAGGCCTCACTAACTCAGTCTCCACTGAGCTGACAGGTCCTTCAAACCATTCTAACTTTGAGATCCGAGCGTGTTCTTTTATTACAAGCTGAGAGCGTCCCTAGATACGTGCCTGATGAGCTGATCTGAAAGGAGGGGGAAAACACAGCTCTCAGTTTTTAATTGTTACAAGTTTCACACAAAGACCGTTCAGTATTACACAAAAAGCAGTCAGTGCTAATCAGTGTTTAATCATATGATGTGCAACAAACAGTTGCATGAGTCAGCAGCTGTCCAAGTCAGCTGTCCTTTGGGTCACATTAGGTCAGGACCAAGATTCAGCTTTTTTACACGAGACTTCAAACAATACAGCAACTGCTTAAACAAAAATGGTAAAATCTTTAAATGTAATAAAAGCATAAAGCATGAGAAAAGAAAACACATAATTATCTTAACAAGAAGTGTGCTGATTAATGAAGTGATGAGGCACAATGAGATGTGGCACATCTGACAGGCTGCCAGGCGTGGGGCTCCCCACCCACGAGAGTCAGAGTGTTAGATGTTAAATAATACTGAGACAAATCAAAGTAGCACGGAGGCTGTGAGTGGGAGTGAGAGAACAGCATCACTCCGGGGAGTTAGAGTCATGGATGCTGCATCTGGAGATTACCCTGATCAATCCAGTTTGATAGATTAGGATTATGATAGGCATGTTTCTTATTTTACCCTCTTTCTGTGGGGTTCATCTTTAAAAATATATTATCTTAGAAAAAATGTCTTCTTGCATGCATTCTTGTCTAACAATAATTTTAGAAATCAATTTAGTGCAAAAATGGCTGATGTTTGTGATTTTAGTGTATTCACTTTTGGTTAATTTGGCTATTAAATCATTCACACCCAAAATTTTCCCATCAGAAATATTTCTTACGAACACAAAACTGTGATCACCAGAAAGCGAGTGAATCTGGTGCACAAAATAAACAACATGTACACTTTAATTATTGTCTTCATTGTTTTTTAATGTCATGATTGATATACAGAATGTTTTACACTGTAAAAAATAAAATGTTTAATTTACTTAACCACATCATGTCAACTGGTTCCATTAAACCTGGTTGCTTAAATGTAAAGAGTTAAATACATTTACTTAAAAAGGCAATGTGTAGTTTTTACCATTAATTACTGTAAATGTTCCTCAAAATGAAAATGAATTAAATGATGCCCAGTTGTTGAAAAATACTGGCGACTTCTTAACATACAGTATAACCATAAAAATCAGCTCTAAAATACATGGTGGCGAGTCTAAGTCTCTGGGCGATGCCATATTAGATTAGTTACCTTCTACGGGGGCCCATGAGGACAAAATGCACTTACTGATTTGTAACAAATGGTTCCAAAACTTCTGTCATTCTTAAATGTTGTTGTTTTACACATTTATCTCTTTATGTATTGACAGTGATGAAAGGGAGTCTGATGTGCTTGTTATTTTGCTAAAGTTTGCACTCCCCAGGGATTTTTGACCCTAATGGGCATCCATTGGTATGGTCTTACTCAAACACAAAAATACTGCTTGCTTGCAACGATTTAGGTATTTACTGCCCCCTATGGCCAGGAAAAATACATACTGTCACTTTAACATGACAATGTATAAAAATGTTTGTTACTTTTTACATTTAAAGGCCAGGTTCACTGAGAAACATTTTTACTCATTATTTTTGGAAATGATCTTTGAGTTTTTCATGCAGGCTGAACATAGAAATAGTCTCCTACACATATCTCCTGCATGAGCTTCTGACAGAAAATAGACATTGCATTGTTACTCAACATTCATGGACTCGCCCATCTTGGCTTGCAATGAGGAAGGCTGTTGTTGGTTTAGCCTCCAGAAGAGAGCAGAGCATGTCTAGTTGAAGCTAACCGTTAGCATTAGCAACCCCACCACACAGCAGAACTCCTTTAGGCTTGTGTTCTTAACATTAACGTTGCAGAGCAAATGGAGTCAGTGGTAGAGTCAGATTGCTGTTAGCCAAGCAGAAGCAAGATGTCCAAATATTAGGGAATAAGACTCCAAATCCTGCCGACTTCTGCCACTTCCTCCTCTGGCTGACTTCTACGTCCTCAAACAGGAGCATCTGAGCTTTTTTCCCCAGAGAACGACTTACAAGGCATTAATTCCTGCTAGAGGCTACTGCAAATGTATTTAATATTTGATAAAAGTTGATATTTAAGGAGTTAGGTTTACTGGAATCAGTTGACAGAACTTGGTTAAGTTAAATCAACATTTAATTTCTTAAGAGTGTAAACATTTTCCAAATTTCCAAATTTATATTTAAATGAAATGCAAACAAATAAAGTCTACTCGCAGACAAACAAGTGTCCTTCAGTCCTGAAGAAAACAAATTTAAATACGAACAAACATCTCTCTTCTAATTAGGCAACATCATCATTCCAGCTGCATCACTTGCATAGGCATGAATAATAATCTGTCAGTCAAATGAAAGCACATCCTATTTCCAGGACTGCATATCCATTTCTGAAAATGTAATGGCAGTCCTGTCGTAGTAATTTATATCCTTCCTTATTCCAGGGAAATTGCTGTGAATTTGCAGTACTTATCTGGACCGGAGGCAGAACTGCATTTAGCTGAGTGCAAAGTGCAACAAAGAAAGCTCGGTTATTTTCAAGGTGTTCCGATCAGCCACCCGCGCTCCCGGGGGGAGCAAAATTCCATTATCCAAAATGCTTGAAAACAGGAAGTGGTGTCATGTGAGTGAGCTGCATTCCACATGACTGACTTTCCATCTCTTGTGTTTCTTTCACGTTGGTCGTCTCTCTCATCTCGGCAGCCGTTATTGCCCTGTTCTGTCGGCAATATGACATTATTAAGGACAACGACTCCAGCAACAATAAGGAGAAGGTCAAGCCGTTGTCAGAGAGGAGCACGCCGGAGCACCACAGTGGAGGACTGCTACGGAGCAAGGTGAACCTGACGGAAATAACACAGTCAAAAGACTTTTACCTGAAGGGCTATCCTGTTATGTATTGAAAGCAATCACTCCATGGAGACCTTTACTCCTCCATATATCGACCTAATCTAAGCCTCTCTGTCAAAATCTTAGTTTCACCTTCTGGAAAGGTTGCAGGTTTAATGTAGCCTTTAAACATCAAGACAACAAAACTCCACTATAAAAAGTGTCAATGTGGCGGGTTGTAGGTTTTTGTATTAGCAAGTTGTGTACGTAGTTAAAAATGCCTTAATTTCACTATCTGATCCGGTTTAATGATGTAAACTACCATAATTAATATTTATAGTCCCACCCACAGCCTGAACAGCAAAACAAATCACTTATGAGAGCCTACAGCATTGAACAATAGAATTGCGTAACCACAAGAGGGAGCTGTTACTCCACGAGAATGTGTTCCATTTCCCAGCATGCACTGCGGGGTGATGCAACCGTCTCAGTCACATTAGCAAACCAACCTAGCTTGAAGGCTAACTCATCCTGCATTTATTTAATGTCAGTCTGTAAACTTCAAGCTGCCTGTGGAAGAGGAGGGAGGGTAACAAAAACGGATCTATCCTTCGTGTATTGGAGCTAAGTCATTAGCTCAACCTTACACTACATCCAAGAGCCAAACTCCAGCTGCCAAAAAGTGAAGCCAACATTGAAGTGACAAACATTGCACTTCCCCCTCAACCGCTAGGGTTTGTGTCTAGAATGGAGCAAGTTCCCATGGACTCCCATCAGGGGAAGTGCAAGGAATGTTCCCCTGCAGGAGCTGCACAGTTTCTTTCTGAGTGGGTGGGGTTGCTGCTCTCCATCAGCACGAACTGAGGAGCGTGGGGGTGAGGGGGCAGACGACAATCTTCCGGTGAGTTGCTAAGCTGTTGCTTGGCCTAATGTTGCTGATGCATGAGCAACTTCTAGCTACCGCCTAGTACAAATAACCAGTGTTGTGCCCGAACGCGTTCATTGAACGGTCATTTGTGAATTCATTCGGCTTTTTTTTTTCATGAACGTGAACTGAACTCATTCGTATTTTGCCTGACGAACGTAAAAGTGATCTTCGCGTTCTTTTGCCGTTCTAGCTCCAGATCTCCACAGAGCTTTTCCTGAGCTAAAGCCTAGTTAAAACATCCTGTTAACTACTGATGTGATGTTCACGAACAAGTAAAATCTTTTGAACGCATTTTCAAAGTGAATGATGAGAGCCGAGTCCCTGTAGAGAGCCGTTTATCTTAACAAACCTCCCCAGAAGTCGGTCAAACTCACCCACTCAAACCCTACCCACCGCTGTGACGGATGCAGGAGGAACCATAGAAACACATGGTTAAATACAAATCTCGGGAGGAACACTAACCAACCCCCCCCCCACCCCGCTCTGTTGGCTTCACTTCATTCAAAGGAGCCAGTCTTTTGAACGGCCAGTAGCGGTTTTAGGCACGGGCAGACAGGGCAGTTGCCCGGGGCGGCATTTTTTCATGACACAAAAGGGGCGCACAAGCGCGGAGTAAAAAAAAAAAAAAAAAAGGAAATCTGCGCCGCACCGAGGTTTTCTATTCTATCTGTCATATGACAGTGTCTGGATTGGAAACAGCAAGTTGGCGCCCCCTGCAGCTGCAGGCGCTCCTGCTGACTGAGAACGTTCATGTGCACCGTGTGTCTATGAAGAACAGGAAGGGGAGGGGTGCGGCGGGGGAATTCACCTCTGCGTCTTTCCCAAATGAAAATGAGCGTGCAGGGACTGAATCAACTGTATTAACATGGCTAAAGTCAATCACATCTAGATGTTCTTCCATATTTCATTCATAATATCATAAACACAGGCCTATCATTCTTTCAGGTTTCTCTGAATTGCGTGAAATGGCCGAATAAAAAAAGGAAAAACAAAACGATTTTGTGGTCACCCCCCCATCAAGGTCAAATAGTTTAGTCCTGACTAAAGGAAACTTACTGAGTCAGGAGCCAAACAGAAGAGATGAACATAAAAAGGCTAAAACCACCAGGTGCCCATTCAGGGGGAAAAAAAGAAAAAAGAGGACAAAGATAAAGGTATGTACGCTCTCATGATGCATGTTTTCAATTTTTTGAACCAGTTAACTGGAATTTTAACGGTTAAATTCGGTCAACTAATTGCTAACAGAGCTAATAGGGCTGAAATATTGAAACGAATATTCAAATGGTTCGAAAAAAGTCCTTGAATCATTTTTTACTGATTCAAACTAGGATTTGTTAAATGCTCACTGCAGCCTGCCTGAACAACAACAAACACATGTTGATCATGTTCAAATAATAATAAATAAAACAACTCTACAAGCAGAAGAAAACTCCCCAGTCTCCACTAACTATCCTGTTTATTTATTGCAGATGGCTGCACTGATTATTTTTTACATGATTTGTTCTGTAAAAGTTGGCATTTTGGGTAGTCAACAGTTTTTTATGTCAGTTTAAATTACAATTTCAGAGGCAATTCTAAAATATTATGGATCATGAGATCTATTGGAGATCTACCCCAACTTTTGGACTGCTCTGCCAGTCACTGTGGCTCAAGCTGAGAGGAGCTTTTCAAAACTTGATCAAGTCATACCTGAGGTCACCTATGTTTCAGGGGCGGCTCACTAACCTGGCTCTGATTAGTATCAATCACTCAGTAGGGGAGCAGATTTCATATGATGACATTATTGATGACTTTGCATCAAGGTTAGGTTTTAATTTTAGTTTGTGTTTTCTGTTCTAAGTGCAATGCTGTAGTGATTATCTTTAGTTTGTTATGTGTGAAATATTTTTGCTATTTAGAATATTTATTATCTATTATGTTCATATATTCTTAATATTTAGTTATTGTTTGTTTTTGTATATTTGATTCTATATATTTTGATACAGTATATAATGTATAGTGCTTTACATTCTGACAACTTCATAGTAATTAATGTAAATATGTGCAACTTAGAAAAATGAATGTTCAATAGTCGTTCTAATAAAACATGCCGGTTTGTAGAAAACATGCGTGTGTTCATGCAGGTGGGGTGGTGTGGTGGTGGTGGGGGGGCGGTTGGGGGGGGGGGGGCGCTCAAAGGGGGCCTCGCCCGGGGAGTAATTCGATGTAGAACTGCCACTGTGAACGGCTCTTTGAGGTAAACAACCGACTAATGTATGAACTGAACTTTGAACTAGTTAACTTTTTTAACGAACTTTCCCAACACTGCAAATAACCATTTTACATTTAGTAGAACAAGTACCATCATGACAACTCCCTTTAGATGGAAGTAAAGCTTGAAATTGTGAATAATTAGGGGCATGTCTATTTGACTGACAGGTAGCAAATGAGCTGTCAGGAAAAGTGGCTAGCCCCCGCTGCTTGTTCTAGTGAAAGCCTCAGCTTCACAATAAAATAGTTGCAGTGTAGAAGGCAGAGGGTAGCAGAGTCATTCAACTGTGGTTTTCTGGCTAAAAGCACCCACCAACCTCTATTAGCTTCAGTTAGCTTGTAACTACCTCAGATCAGAGGTTAATTAGCATCAATCATCTGCCCCCACCCTCACAGCACCCCTCTTAGCTCCATTTTTGTTTTGTTTTTCGGTAGTGATGAGATGCGGCCAAGAAGGCTGAGGTGGGAACTATCCCTAGAGCTTTGATTCAGCTCTTCAGAAACCTACAGGTGATGGCACAGAGGATTCGTCTATTATATATACACACAATTATTGACTTCACTTTACTATTGTTTTAGCTTGCTTTAGCGTTAGCAGTGGTGTCCTAGCATAGTGAGTGCAGGAGTCTTGCTGCTTGTGAGAAGGGTTAGGCTTAGGGTTAGGCATGGCCTTCCAGATGGGGAAAGGGGGCTATAACTAATTTCATAATCTTTTCCTCCTCTCTTTGATGACGTCATACTACGGACAACAACTTTGAGGAACCTCAGGCTTCCTGAAGGATATAAACCATACTTGGCCCATTTAGTGAAGTGTCCCAACATCTCTTGGTGACATTGTGCATAGTCGTTCTTTTTTAAAACAGAAACGGTTTTGTTACCTGTTTTGTCGCTATGTTTCGCCGGCGGCTGCAGGCTTCCTCAGGCTGACGCTGATGGTGGCGTCACTTCCTTCTCCATTTATCCGCGGGTAGCAGAGGACGTTGTCGCCCTCTACTGCCCGCTCTCCCCTCTGCAACGATGCAATCCCATGCGCGGTCCAACGTGTACACTCCGTCGTCCCTGTTCATGGTCCCCCATCCACGTCTCCTAATCTCGATAGCTTCTTTTATCCATCTTTTGTATTTCTGTTGTTCGGTGTTTATGATCCTTGTGTTGTCCCGGCCCATTACATGGTTTTCTCTTATGCAGTGATCTGTTACGGCTGACTTCTTTATTGTGCTTTCTGCTTCTTCTTTTGCTGCTCTTGTGTGTTTTCGATTTGCCTCTTTCTCGTACTCCTTTCTATGTTCTATTGTTCGTGTGTTGAGTTGGCGTCCGGTTTCTCCTATGTATGTTTTATTGCAGAGTTTGCATGGGATTTCGTAAATGACTCCACATTTACTGTAAGTCCAGCTGGTATTTTGTCTTTTGGGTGCACTAGTCTATTTCTAACTGTTGTGTATGGTTTTGTTGGTGTGTTTATGTTGTGATTTTTATTGTGCATAATCGTTAGGAAATAAGTCGAGCAAAAACATTTCCAAATCTGATGGAAGCGTCAGGAAATTAACAAAAAAAATGTAATAACTATTTTGTTGTCTGTTGCAGTTTCACCCCTCTGTGCCGTCCATAAACATCATCGAAGTCTGAGAAGAAGAAGAAGAAGAAGAAGACAGCCAAACTCAAGCTCCTCTGTCTCAAATCCTTAATGCATTTTTATGCCTCTTGCTGATGAGCGAAACAGGCAGGGAGAAAATGTGCATCATCAGCAAGAAAGAGTTGACAGAAGGCTCATGTGCATGAGCAGCTATAGAGAGAAAAACACACCAACCTAAAATCCACCCACTCACGCACACTGACACTTCTTACAGTTGCTACGAAAACCTGCTCTTGCTGGTCAGAACCTGACGTATGCTAACCCGCGGTGCAGCGAACACCGATGTCTTTGGTGGGTGCTTTACACATTACTGCAATACAACCCCCCTAGGTAGACTTTATCTCTGGGAAGTCTGTGTTTGTGACTTTACATACGCAGAGACTTTTGATATTGGCATGTGCAATTAGATACTCACCCATTATAGGCAATAGTGTTAAAATGCTGCCTGATGATAATACCATGAGTATGCTGTGACTAGATTGCCAATAAGGAAAGAAAGGAAGAGTGTTCAAAATGATTGCTATTTCTGATTAGTATTGTATTTGTTCAGTTTTTGTATTTAAAAAAAATTCTCTTGTTTCCTAAATGAAGTTGCATGCAGGGTGTTTTGTGTGTAGAATACCATTTGATGTGGATTTGAACTCAGATCCCCAAAACTGAGAAATAAACAAAATGATAACTATGAAGCTCTGTGTCACGCCCTGTCCTGCCCGGTCCTGTCTTCTCTTAGGTTTTCATCAGTGTCTCTGTTAATTGCTCCCACCTGCCTCTTGTTTCCCATTCACCATAGCTCCCTCTCCTCATGTATGTAAACCCCTTCTGCTCTGTGTTCCATGTCGTGTCATTGTTTCAGTGTCCAGCATGTGTTTCTAATAAACCTTTGTTAAACGGACTCACCTGTTCGCCTTGTTCCTCCCCGCGTGTGGATCCTTGCCTCACCTCAGCTCACCTCGCCACACGCTCGTGACAGAATGACACGACCTCCTGAAGGGTCCAGCGGGGAGATCCTCCCATGGAAGTATTTATTCCAGTTCTTCTCCGCCGACTATCAACCGGCTTCTCCTTCCCCAGCTCCAGCTCCGCCTCGCCGCAGACGGCGTCCCCGACCTTCTGCCTCGGCGTTCCTCGCCGCCCTTCCGGAACCGGACGGGAGGTTGGATGGAGAGACGCTCCGGGATCGCTCCAGCTTCGAGGGCACGAGGCTGGCTTTCTGCTCCCCCGGGGTCGGTCCACGGCGTGGGGAGAGACGCCGGAATCCACCGCAGCCCTGCGCTTCAGGACGGAGCTGCGAGCCCGCCGCTGGCCGTGCTCAGCGCGCCGGTTCGGACACGCCCCCGGTCAGACCAGCGGTCCCGTCTCCGGCCGAATCGGCGTCTGCAGGTGGTGGAGCTGCGCCCGCAGTTCAGCTGACGGACGTCGCCAATCTCCGAGCTGAGTTGGTCCAGATGCGCCAGACCCTCGTTCTCGAGAGGCTCGAGCTGGAGAATCTGCTCGCTGCTTCGGCTGGACGCAGCAGCGTGGACCCGCCCCCAGTCGGACCAGCTGTCCCGCCTCCGGTCCAATCGGCTTCTCCGTCATCTGCAGGAGGTGGAGCAACGCCCGCAACCCAGCCGACTGAGCTTGCCAGTCTCCGGGCAGAGCTGGTCCAGATCCAACAGCTCTCCAGTTCTAATAAGCTCCTAATGGATGCTCTGCGCTCCCTGTCTCCAGCACCACCCGTTCACTCAATGCCTGTTCCAGCGGGGGTCCAGAGGTAGGCGGTGCGGGTCCAGAAGCAGACTGTGCGGGCCCAGAAGCCGACGGTACCAGCCCAGAAGTCGGCGGTTCGAAGACCGGTGGTCCAGAAGCCAGAGGACCAGAAGCTGATGAAAGTCAACACCGCCTCCAATCCAAGGGTCGACGCCTCCAATCCAGAAGTTGGCTCGTCTGATGATGTCGCCTCCAATCCTGAAGTTGGCTCGTCTGATGACGTCGCCTCCAATCCTGAAGTTGGCTCGTCCGATGACGTCACCTCCAATCCTGAAGTTGGCTCGTCCGATGACGTCGCCTCCAATCCTGAAGTCGGCTCGTCCGATGACGTCGCCTCCAATCCTGAAGTCGGCTCGTCCGATGACGTCGCCTCTGGTCTGATGTCTCCTCCGTGTCCGTTCCAATGGTGATTCTGAAGGTCGCTCCGGTCCAGCCTGTGTCCCCGGCCCAGCCTGCAGGGCTCCTCTACCGCAGGCGCCGCCCTCCCAGGGCCCGTCGCCTCCTCTTCTGCCCCAGGCGCAGGCCTCCCTGGGACCGTCGCCTCCTCTTCTGCCCCAGGCACAGGCCCCCAAGGGCCCGTCCTCGTCTCCTCATCTGCCGCAGGCGCCGGCCTCCAAGGGACTGTCGCCTCCTCATCTGCCCCCAGGCGCCGGCCTCCAAGGGACTGTAGCCTCCTCATCTGCCCCAGGCGCAGGCCTCCTGACTCTGCTGATCCCTGCCGCCTCTTCTGTGGTTCCTCTGGGCCCTCCCTCCGGGTCCCCCTCCTACCACCCTGCTCCTTGTTCCTGTGGGCGTCTGGGATCCGCCCTTGGGGGGGGGGGGGGGGGGGGGGTATTGTCTTGCCCTGTCCTGCCCGGTCCTGTCTTCTCTTAGGTTTTCATTAGTGTCTCCGTTAATTGCTCCCACCTGCCTCTTGTTTCCCATTCACCATAGCTCCCTCTCCTCGTGTATTTAAACCCCTTCTGTTCTGTGTTCCATGTCGTGTCATTGTTTCAGTGTCCAGCGTGTTTCTAATAAACCTTTGTTAAACGGACTCACCTGTTCGCCTTGTTCCTCCCCGCGTGTGGATCCTTGCCTCACCTCAGCTCACCTCGCCACACGCTCGTGACACTCTGTTGTGTGTGTCGGATCGTCTCGTGTAAAAAAAGAGAGAGGCTGTGTTTTGTTTTTTGTGCATCATTTTATGAGTATTATATACCTTAATACAGGGATTCCCAAAGTGCGCGAGCTGCCGCTAGGGGGTGACGCGAGGTGAAAAGTGTAATGGTTGCGGAGCTCAGAGAACTCTGTCATATGTCACCATTAGCGTAGCCAGAAACTCATTTGTGGGTGGGCCTAAGAAAATGTAAGTGGGCCCAATAAATGTAATTGAAAACAAGTATATTTTTGCACGTGTGTGTGTGTGTGTCCTCCACATGTGCCCTAGCTTCATAATAACAATGCGCCGAGCTTCAGCACTCTGGCCTGCGCACACCGATATGTTTCATATTTGATCATTTTTAACGGTGTTGGAGGAATCTGAAGGTGGTGAGTCATTCTGGCAGATTGTAATTAACACCCTGTCTCATGCAGGTGTTCTGACATTGTAAACCTCACACACAGAACATTTTGGATGTAACACAATAAATCAAGAAATGATTCCCATTCAGGCTATTAACAGCGCGCTGAAGATCTGAAGTTCAGAGTGCGTCTGTCAGAGGTCAGATGCGTTCCAGTGGAACCACAGCTCACGGGTGCACATGTGAGCACATCAGGGCTGGGCAGAAGCAATTTTACAACATTGGTTTAAATAGAGCCAATAACGAGACGCGGTGACTTGAGCGGTGCGCGAGCACCACCTCACCCCTGCCACATGGACCTCAAGGGATAAACCATCAATCCTGCTCAATGGTCAGCTTTCCTCGCAGGGTCACGCATAAAGACAGTGGGAGGGTTAAGTGATCACATGAAGCTCTCACTGTGAATTGTTCACTAGGTACACCTGTCCAAATGCTTGTTAAAAGATTAGGCTAATCAGCCAATCACAAGGCAGCAATTTATGACCTTTCTGTATCTAGATGTTATGGCTGCAGACTTTGGATGTCAAGATAACCATGATCCGTAGAGTAGTTTCTCCAATCTATGGCATGTTGAACCTGAAGATGGACTCGAACAGCAGTAGATCACGTCAGGTGTCACTCTTGTCTGCTGAGAACAAGAAACCAAAACTCAGATTATCTTTAACTGGTTTCTTGATCTCAGTCCAGTCCGGAACCTTTGGAATGTGGTGAAACCAAACATTAACATCATGTGTGTAACTGTGATGCAGCCATTTCAATATGGACCACAACTTCAGAGGAATTTATGACAGGAATGATTAAGTCAGTTTTGAAGGCAAAAGGAGGTCCAGCTCAGTCCTTGCAAAGTGTTCTTAATAAAGTGGCCATTCAGTGTATGTCTCTTGGTCCTGTGCTTTAGGTCCTTCACCTCTGCTCCCACCATGAATCACGACTCACAAGTAACAGGAAGAGACTGACTGTAGCAGAGCTCCACAGAACGAGTTCTGTTGGGTAATTTTTATATTACTCCCATTACTCTCAAAGAAAGTCAAAGCACACACAGAGGGATTAGACTGACAGGCGAACTCCCACTGAAGGGCTCTGCTCTCCCGGGTTTCGGCACCAAAAATGTTGGGTAAATTTTATATTACTCCCATAGAATATATTATATTACTCCCTCAAAGAAAGTCAAAGCACACACAGAGGGATTAGATTGATAATTTGGTAATTTGTAATCAGACAAAATGAAAACCACAAGAATGCTTTGCAAAGGGTGAGAGAATCAATACACACCATACGAAAGGCAGTTTGCTCTCACACTGAGCCGAAACTGTGGAGCGAATTTATTTGCAAGAACACACACACACAACAAAGAGATAAACACCCATAAATTCCTCAAAAACCTCCTTTGCCTCAGGAATCCACAGAAGACAAAAGGGATTCTTCAGATAATAGATCAACGAGTCTCTTGGTCTGGCAGGACGGCGTTCCTGCAAAAGAGACTCCCGGTCTGGCCTCCATATAATAGAACAAAAGTACCTGAAGCAGAAAGGAGTTCCTGCAAACATTTAAATGTAAATCAGGGTGAGGTAACTCTGTTTGACAATCAGTTTTTACCTATCAATCCCCCCTGTTCAAACGGCGTTCACCTTAAATGATTATAACAATGAAGGATAATAAAATCTGAGTTGATAACAAGAACATCAAACAACAATGGTTACAGAAACCGTAATTTACATTGTTGAAATCATAATGAAACCAACTTTATCAGGCAATATATTCATCTTCTGCAAGCTCCTCTTTTTGTCTCAGGAGAGTATAATGAACCAAGGCATTCGTCATCAGTTTGCTTACCATATTCTTCAAACACGGGAGCACACAGCCTAAAACTAAGCAAATCATGACCAGGATAACAATAACAGGTGCAAGAAACTTTAACAAGAGCTGATACCAGTTACCAGATACCAGCCAACTCATAAAACTCCAGGATCCGCCAGTCGAGTCGTTGGATTTCAGGAAGTTGCTAGAGGGGGAAAGTTAATGTAAAATGTTAATGTACGCAGCTCTAACTGTGGCAGAGCTGAGGTCAAAGGGCTTGTCCATGGACTGGAAACTGTAGTTTGAGTAAAACAATGCCTTCTTCTGGATGGTGTTGCACGGGGAAAGGTGATGCAGAAGTGACCTTTGGGGTCGTCGTCGTGAGGGGCGCGGCTTTCGTCGCTCATATGAGGCAGGGTCAGTGTGCCAATCTGAACGTGTGTACCACACCAGGTGTGTGGCAGGAGAGAGCCAACCTGAGCAAAAGGCGTGTGCCAGCAACTGTGATGATGTCATAGCAATATGGGATTCAGTGATGTGGGGACGGTGAGGGGATGTCTTTTTGTGCAGGGAGCCATGAAACCAGAC